CGTGAGGCCAGATTTCAGTCGGTTTCAGCGTCATCAGTTGTCTCAATAATCTACCAGTCCTTGATGGACAAGTTTTGGCGTGACTGAATGCCTCAACGATTGCAATATCGCTGATTTTCATGCTTTCGTAGCTCGCAATGGCGGAATCTATGTTAATCATCTCATCGTCGAGCCAGTCATCCACCAGAGACAGATGAGGAAAATGTGTGGCCAGTAACCGAAGAAGTGGTGAGAACAAACTGGCATAGTTCATCTGATCCCGCTGGACTAATTGTAATAAATATTTGATTGGTAATTCAGAGAGAAACTCTGTAGAATATGACTTGACTTTTCTGCCTTGTGACATGAAGGTGTGCATATTGGACAATCTCACGTCCTCGTAGAGCAGGAGGTAATAGAGCAGTAGTAACTGGGAGGTGAGCGAAGGTTTCGATGTGTCAATGTCCATATTGTCAGCGTCTATCTGCATGGTGTTGACGGGATTTTTCTTAAAATCGAAATTTGCCCCGAACACACTGTTCTGAAACACCCGACAGATCTCGTTCTCGGTAATAGGCTTGTTTGTATGCTCGGATGTCTTGTTGTTTGTCATCAGGATAGAATTCACATAGACCTCAACCAGAGCCGGTAGAACTGGATGTAACGGTGGTACACTGGCACAGATCTGCCGGTATATCCAGTTCTTGATGGGTACCCGGTGTTTCGCGAACGCCCGTGATTTCAGCAGTTGATGAATACAATGCACTGGTAGGAAGCCAGGGATATTGGCGTTCAAATTCGCCGTAACTGGTACCTTAACGGCATGCGCAGTGACCACCTGTTCCGTGAAAATCTCCTGCATGAAGATTTGCTTGATCCGTGTGAGATTGTTAGGCCTGATTGGTATCTTCATCCCAAGTGTAGCACAGACCAGCTCGCAGATCGCTGATAACTGATTGCTGTGGAAGTGTATCGCCATCAACAATAACATTTCGCCAAAACTGGCAGTAACGCCACTTGCGCTTTCGAAATAGGCTTCTTCTCGTACCAGCCATTGCACCCATTCGATGCTGCGTTTCTCTAGATTGTGATGCCCGATCAGGGAAGGGCATGCTATCAACATGCACAAGCCAAGCGACACAAATCTAACACCAGCGGGTGATGGCGGTGGATGAGATGTCAGAAGTTGAACGATCATTGCAACTTCATCATCTTGAAACTTGATCCCACCGATACCTCGCAGAGCACAATAGAGCCTGAGCAACGCGCTCGCTTGTACGACTTGCGACTCCGCTAATTGACTGTCCGTGCTCTGTGACGCGATTGTTTGCAGTCGTTTGAGCAGCTCCTCTCGTAATGATTGCAGAGCCGTCTGTGATTCCCACTTGCGTTTCTGTCCATTTCTAATGAACATAGCGATCCACGATCGTACCTGCTGATCGCTACCAAGTAACAAACCAGACACAAAGGCAACCACATCACTCTCGGGCTGCAAGCTATTTGCATTTTCATGCTCCAAGCTCAGAGTGATAGCTAGAGCGGGCATCCGGCATAACTCCACACATTTAGCTCTAATTGCCAGCGCTTGACTCGGATTCATTTGACAGAGCATCGTAATTGCTTGTGTCCTAATTCTACCTAACGCAGATTCTTCCTGTCGTTCTCCGTTAGCAATCAGATGCGCACACACCTCTGAAAAACTGTCTGGACTGTTGGCAACAATCCAACAAATAATATCAGGGCCATGCTTAACATGCAGGAGAGTTTCCGCTATGTCCAAGATAGATAATAATGTTGGCAGTTCTGCAAGAGCAATGCAGATGACATAGCTTATCTCTTCCATGTAAACCGCATTGTCGAACAGATCTGACTGTTTGACCTGGAACTCTTGATTCTTCTGCAATTCCTGTATCTGAGACGCTATGAATAAGATCTCGCTGAGCACTAATCTGATTCTACGAATGGACTCACTACGTTCAAACTCTAGCGCTAAGCCACTCTGCAGAGATTGGGCCAGTACACTATCTCGTTGAATACTACCGAGCTTCTGTCTAAAAAAGAAATAGATGAATGTTAACATATAATCATTATATCAAAATATAAAAATTATATAACAATATAAATCTGAAAATCATTGTAATATAAAGGATTCAATAAAGAAGAGATATCTTTTAATGATAAGGAATAGACACTCTGATTTTTACACCTTAAAATTAAGCTCAATAGTAACTTTCTTTACCATTTGAAAATTCATACTTATTTTCTTTAGAGCTTTTCTTCTTTAGAAAATATTAAATATAAATCTATACACGTACATACATACACATGCATGTATACATGCACATGTACACATACACATACATAGGGTGAATCAGAATAGTTAAACTTTTTTGTTTTTTATCTTATGAGAAAATTGTCGACTTAATTATTGATTTAGCAATACAGATCAGATACATCATGTGAATTGGACATACTAAGAAAAAGACACATTTTTAATATCTTATTTTTAATATCAGATATATCATGTGAATTGGACATACTAAGAAAAAAGCATATTTTTAATATCTTGTAACAATTTTTACAATTCAACCTCG